TTGTTCTCTACAGTACTTGCATTTTGTTGTACCAAGAGGCCAGGATCTCTACCATTGCTCTTTCAAGGGGTCAATTTGGTTCCTACTTTCTGCCTGTCATCCATCCCAGGGCCTGACACCTCCTTGTTTCTCACTTAACTTTTTCCTGTTGCTAAAAATGGCATAGTCAGCTCTAGTTTTAAAGAGAAACTGGTGTTTAAAGATAGTTTCATCTTGAATCACCACTTGCATTGAAAGTATTAAGAAAAAAAAAAAAGAGTAGAGAAGAGGAGAGGCAGGGCCAGACCCCAGGATGTTTCCAGTGGTTTCCTCACATACTGCCCATGCATCGGGACCTCTCATGCTAGGAAAGCTTCTGTGCCTCTTGGCCAGTAATTGAGCTGTTCCAAGCAGCTGCTGACTTATCCCAGCAGTGGAAGAGAAGAAGGGAGGGAAGACAATGTCAGGGACCAACTCTGTCCCTCTAGCATGGCTGGAGATTCAGATCCAGCAAGTTTCCCAGGAGAAAACAGAGAAGAGGTAGCCAATCCTGGTGCAGTGCACTCAGGATTAGAGGAGGCCCTGCTACAGAGCCTCGAATCCTGGACTGGCCTGTATTCATCATTGGTTACTGATCCCCTGGTATTTACATACCCAGAAGAAAGGACAATTACTTAACACTGTCCTGAAAGTCATATCAACTGAACAGAGTCCACCTCCATGGGTTGAGTGGCTACCCTGCCTTTCCCTTTGGTTCTAGCTGACTCTCTGCAACTAACTCCATCCAGTGAAGATGGGAGGGACAGAAGGACAGCAGGATGTCAAGCTGCAGCGCGTACTGAGAAGCCGTACCAGTGCTCCAGGCCCCGGTTGTTCTGGTGGAGAAGCCCAAGATCATAAGATGAACCTCTGCGAGCCCCGAGCAGCATGCTGGCCTCTTCTGCCTCCTTTGGTAGAGGTCCTTTCTGGAGGATAAGGGTGAAAGCCCCCCAGAATGCTGTGCTTTGGTCTTTCTGTGAAGACATGTGTGGTGGTGCTCATGTGGCCGCTCACTTCTACACATCCTTCTCCCTGAGAAAAGTCCCTGCAGTGGGAAAGGGCTCTGTTTGATGTCTTCATCTGTGGGGTTCATTTGAAGGCTCCATAAGCCAAGTGGAAGGGGGCAGCGCGAGCCCAACTGAGTTATTTTCATCTTGTAAGAAATTATTTTCACATGGAAAACAAAGACTTGTTTATTAAAGAAAAACTGGAAAATTTCTAGAAGGAGAGAGGAGTTACAATTCTACCATCTAAACATAGCTGTCACTGTTAACTTTTTGGGTATGTTCTTTAAAAATGTTTTTTCACTACCAAAGGGTTGGTTTCTTTTCCCTATGGCTGAGACCATTTTATGTATACATAATATATATATATATATTATATATA